ACTCATGATCCTCCCTCACTTTCCCTGTACTGCCCACCTCTCTTCTTCATCCAGACAAACCTAGATACAACCCTCCTCTAGTTAATAATCCCATCTCAACTCTAGAGTTTCTTACTGTGCTGCTACATTTAGTATACATACCTCTTAGATTATGTCTTAATTAAATAAGTAGCTTAAGTAGTTGCTAGAACCCCACCCTCCCCACAGACCCCTTCCTGATTCAATAAAATTATCATCTTCTCTTTCCAATAGTGCTTATATACATAATGCAGGCTTTAAAAAATTACCACGTGTGCTAGTTGGTACCTGTCTTTGTGTTGGCCTAAGTTTGTCAATGTAATTACCATCCCTTACAGAGGCTAATTTCCCCAAAGCAGAGAATAATTAATTTAAAACAATCCATTAAAGCACCTTCCATGCAGAAGCACTGAGAAAATAATATCTATGGAGCAAATGTATCCACATAAATATACACCTTATTCCTAATCTGCATTAAATCCTGAGTGTCACCTTAAGGAGCAAATGTTAATGACACTATAAGAAAAATGGCATTTCTTGGGAACTAAATTCCCCACATGGGAAAGATAAATTTCTTCTTTACATAAAATGACAAGAATCCCTGTTCCCCAAAAAAAGTCAAATCCAAAGTAAACGTGTTGGTGCCAATTTAGCTGCTTTTCAATTGAAAAAAACACCCTAGTTTTACAAAAGGAATTGATACAACCAATTTGATCACTTAAGTTTATTTGTAGTTTCTGCCAGAAAATTATTTCCAATCTCCCTCTCAAGACAGCTTAACTCAAAATTTTGACATTTTCCTTTATTTAATAAAGACAAATTTCAACCTCAGCTCTGGGTCCTATGAAAGGAAAAAAGAATTACTAAAGAACATTGTACCTGTCAAAACATCTTTGCCTTATCAGATATATTCTCCTTTACAGCATTTAACTGTTATACTGACTAGACTTTATATAATCACTACATTTTCCTCTATTATGGGGTTGTATACAAAACACTGGCTTTGGTTTTTATACCTAAAAGAATGTATTTTATTTTCTGTCCTCAAGATGGCTGAGTCATCAGGACAGAAATGAGAAGTCAGAGGATGCCTCTTGAAGAAATGATTTATAGTAAACAGGAAAGAATACAGCAGTTAATTGTGGAATGGGTTGAGAAAAGACTATCTTAAAAATTTAGATTATTTTAGCAATCATAATAATACAAAATTGGCTGAAGCTAAATCACAGAGATGGTAAGAGAAGACCAGCAAAATGGGGCCTATTGGTTAACTCTGAAAAATCATAATCATTTTATTTGGCCCAGAGAGATTAAAGATCACTGGAAGAATGTAATGTAGGGAGCTGAGTACTGGAAAAATAACTATCTTAGTCATGTGGATATTTTAAATGAGTTTCAGAGTTGGAAAAGATGTAAGAAAAAAACTGGAATGACTGGGTGTGACATGGAATAGGAAAATTAATAATAAAGTTAATAGCAGGGGCCCTAAAGCATTCAGAGGTTTTTGTTATATTTTAGTGGGCAAAAAAGTAGAGGTCTGGGGTCTCAAACAACTGTAGATTATGAAATATTTCCAGGCCCTGCAAGTGAACAGATAGGAGCTGAGAAAAAATTTATTTTAGAGTAACAGACTGAGCAAAAAATTACAACAATTATTGGCCTACTTTCCTGCCTATGGTTTTTTCTAATAACTCATTTGCCTTTATTTACCTTGAAGAGAGTTTATGCTTTAAAATACAAAAACTATAAGAGGATTGGATACAATTTCCAATTGAAGGTTAGTTTCAAATGCTAAATTATGAGTATTTGATTTTCTCCAAAAATATTTTTTTATAAAATTAATTCTAAAAATTAATTTGAAGATCTATAAGGTATCTCCAAATAGCCAGAAGCACTGTCAGGATAATTTGGGATATAGCTACTTATTTTACTGACTCATAAGGGGTTCATGTATTTACTGGAAATAACATTGACACTGTGTCATATCCAATTTTTATTGTCAATAGAAAATTTGGTGAGTATTTGATTTTACAAATAATGAAGTTGGTAAGCAAAAGAATGTAAAGATTTTCTTATATCTTTACAAATAATAATATATAAATTTTATGTTTCCATCTCCCTTAAATATTGTAATAAAAATTAATCAAAATGAATCCATTTATACATTGCATCAAAATTGCAATGTATAAATTGTCTCTCATAAATAATTTTGAATATATGCCACTAAAGCTTAATAATCTTGTCAGCTTTTTCTCCCCTTCATTTCCCTGTCTGGGACTGAATTTCTATACCACTTCTATAAATTGTCTAGAATCATAAATATATGGCCATTCCTATTCTTATACACTTAGTGATTCTTCTTCTGTTTAGTGAAGAGACAAATACCCTAGAATGTACCTTACTAAGCAGAGTTATATGGCGACCACCTGAAAGCATTTGCTTTATGCTTTCAATGTTAAGGATGATGAAACTCTCTCATTAAGAGCATCCTCTGAACAACTCTCACAGTGTTGCAGTTGTTCAAGAGTCTTATTCATTCTTTGGTACTGCCTTTACAACACTAAATGAGGTTTAGCCATCTCAAAGCTACAGCCTAAATTGGCAGCTGGCTTCTAAACATTACTGCATTACTGCAGGATGAAAAATATTTTTAAAATGTCCTTTGTTAAACTTTATTTGGGGAAAAGGGTAAAGAGAAAAATTAAGGTAACAGTGTAAGTTACAAGTTGAGGAAATGTTCGGTTTATCCAACTTTTTTAAAAATCTCATATGTGTACACAGATACACAAACTCTCTCTTGGCACCAACTGATCTTTTCAAATAGCTCTAAAATGCGACACCAACAGGTATGAAAACAAGGTATTTGACTTACATATAAAAAATGTTTCAAATTACAGCTAATAATGTAACTTCAAAGAAGCTGCATTTTAGGCTAGAAAGATTTTTAAAGGACTGGTATACTGAACAACTAATAATGTGTGTCAGAATATGTGCATCATATATTGTACTTGCTTCAGTGGACCTAAACTATGGAGAGAGGGGAAACTGCAAGAATGTAACTGGGAAGGTGGGAGGTGGAGATTGAATATGCAGCACTCACTACAGGCATCATGGGAATTTTTGAAAGGTAGTCTATGAAGGTAATCAGACTGCCATAGAGCCAAGATAGCTTGTCTTTTAATATTTCAGCAACAGACTCAAACTAAAGTAACCTTTTAGAGAAATTCAAAGAAAGCGTTTTTAATTAAGTATTGTTGCTTCCTGCATATGCTCTGGTTCTTTCTTTCCTGACTGAGAAACAGAGAAGGTGGAGAGTGAGGAGAATTGGTGGGAATCTAAGACACTGGAATTTCAATAGCAGATATATATATATATATAAAGAGAAAAAGCAGCAGAAAAGATGAGCTACTGCAGGACTTCGTCTTAGTCATCTTTATATCCCCTAAGGCACCTTAGCCCAATGCACTACACATGGGGGGGGCAGTCGATAAATAATGAATTAGGTTTAATTCAATTCACTCACATTTGTACTGTGCTTTGCAGTTACAAAGCAGTTTCCACATATTAGAAAAGAAAAGTAAATGAGGAATAAAGGGGCAAGTACGGGAATAAAAGGAAAGCAAAATAAAGAAAAATCCACAAGAATAAGCAAGCGGCGGAAAAGGCTGGGGAAAAGAATGGGCAATAAAATTCAGTTTCTGTCACTCTCAATCCCTCCCAATCACCTCACCTTTTGTTCTAAATTATATGGAGCTTAAAAAGTCTGACTATTAAGCAAGCCCAAGAAGGGGCTCTTTCATCGTAGGAACGGGCATTTTCGGAGATAAGCCTTAGGTCCCTAACTGATCTACCCAGAGTTTGCTCAGGTACGACCTCGAGCAAAGCGCTAACATTTCCCAAGTGTGGCCACGGATCGTTTATTCCATTCCCTCCCATCAATCCCCTTTTCAATTCCCCAAATCTTAGGGAAGAGTTGAGGCTGGGGATCCAAGTGGTTGGTGGGTGAGGGAGTCCTCTACAAGCCCCTAACTCAGACAACAGAGGGAGGTAGTGAGGCAGGAAAGCCCAGGGATTAAAGAAAAAGCTCACGTTTGCGATTAGGAGGGCGAGTGTCTATCAACTGTGGTTATTATAAATCACCAGGGGTAAAAAGGGGGGAATCTTCAAGATGGAAGAAATGTAAAGGTACTTGAATGCGCATCACCTCACACCTAGCTTTAAGCCCTTAATAAAAAGCCGTGAAGTCCAAAAGCACGGTCCAAAACCTCAACTGGCTTGAAAGGGAGAAAGCAGGGAAGGCAAAGGATGCGAGGGGATGCATTGGTGGGAGCCCACAGACACCAGCGAGGATGCTGTACCAGGGGAAGCATGTTTTCCTACCCCCAAAGTAGCACGTACCCCCGCTCTGAGCATCCTCAGCCAAACCTGGGTGTGGGGGGGTGCCAGGATCCAAATGGGGGCGGCCGCGTCCTGACCCCATTATGCGGGCTAAAAGTTGCTTGGGAGAGTTGGCGCTGGGGAAGGCACCTGACAAGGGCGGCCGCCCAAGGGGGCGTCAGCTTTCCCAGGAACAAAGGGTCCAGGGAAGGGCGATCATGGGAGCAGGTCCTGGGGTAGTCCACCCTGAGCTGGGAGATAAGGGTCGCCACGTCCTCGTGGCCCGGGGACACTCAGGGGAGCGGGGAGTACGCAAGATGCGCCGGCATTCCGCCTCCCGGCTTCCTGCTTCCAACCGGGTGGTGCCCGCTATCCTCTAGCTCTCCGGTGGCTCCGCGCCCCTCTAGGTGGAGACAAAAGGAGACTGGGACCTCAGGCCCCTGCCAGTCCCGGAGGACCCCCGCTAGTTCCCCGCCCCGACGCGTACGACGGTCAGCCACTGGTAGCCGCGGTGGCGGACTCTGGCGCGGCGGGCGTCCTCTCCTAACCTCGCACTGGTGCCCCGCGCCCCAGTGCCGCCTCACCCTCCCTGCAGCAGGCATTACCTTTCATCCAGTCCACTACTTGACTCGGAGACCATTTGCTCACCGGTTCCATTATCAGAGCCATGGGTACGGGGTCGGTCGGTTCCGCGGGGAGCGCGGACCTCAGACACAAAACGAACTCAGCAGCCCGAGCCGCCCTCAGGTGGGGTCCCTTGCTGGCCGCAGCCTCCCTGCGCGGGCGGCGCGGAGAAAGCTGCTTTTGTGTGTCGAGTCTCGCGGCTGTAATGCCTCTTAGCCAACAGCTGGCAGGAGCGGCGACGGGGAGGGAAACGTGAAAGAGTCGTGGCTCCGCGCCGGGTCGGCTCAATTCCCGCTAAGGCGGCGGCGGCTGCTGCTGCTGCTGCCTCCTCCACTCCGCCTGAGTCTCGGTCCCTACCGAGCTTCAGTTCATGGCTTGAGCTGCTGAAGGGTCGCGTCGCCGAGGGAAGGAGCCTCTGCCGCACGCCCTCAGCCAACTTGCCCGCTCGCCTCACGGGCGAGAGTGAAGCCCCCAGCACGACTAGCTGCACGGCGGAAATGACGAGGGGCCTCCTGCCACCCAAAATATCTCTCCGCAGCCCTCGGGTGCCGGGCGCGCGCGCCACTAGCCCCCCGCCCGCTCGCTGCCGCGCGGTCCCGCCCCCAGGGCCGACGGCAGGCGCGCGAAGCGTCTGCGCGTGCGCGTGCCGGCACGAGGCCGAAGCCCAGGGTCTGTCTGGCAGGCAGACAGGTGCCAGCAGCTCGCAGCCTGGCGTTCCCGCTCTGGGGGCCGTCCGGGAACAGAGGCGCGCGAGGTGCGCGTGCGCGTGCGCTGCGGAGGCGGTGGCTGCGTGAGGCAGAGCCAGAGCCCTGGGTCGGTCAGTCAGTCAATCAGGTGCGGGCCGTTTGAGCACGGCTTTGTGAGGCCTCTGAGGGAACCCGGCGCGGTGGCGGCCATGGCTGGACGGGCCGCCCACCAGTTGAACTTCGACAGCTGAGGCGGCTGAGGAGGTATCTGCGGCCCCACCACCGAGGGGAGGGGGACACCACTGAGCGCGGGGGTTACAGCTAGAGCCTGGGCTTTCCTGGCTCTCGTTTTGGCCTCGCCCTCCCCACTGCTGAGTGGGCTCCGGAGGTGATTCCCGAGACCCGCGTGCGCCTGCAGAGACAGAGGAGTGGATCCCCGTGGACGAGAACGGGGTTCCGCCATCCAGAAACGCTGCTAGTGCTGTCTCCCCGGGGTGATGAGCGGGTCCTGGGAAGTCAGGCGTTGAGGCTGTCACCTGCCAGCTGCTGGTTGTGGTGATCCTGAGACAGATTCTGCCCCAAGTATCATTTTAAGAGGCTCTGTTTCAGGTTTTCGGCCAACTCCTCTAAAGTACCTGTTTTAGAGGATGTCATTTTGTCTTTGATATTCTTATAAATCAGAACCGAAGGGCAACACTGGGATTTAAAATGAGTGACAAATTGTAAACATCTTTCAAAACTCATTTTCTTCAAAAACCATACACAGGCTACTATGCAACCGTTAGTAAAATACAGTTTGCCTAAATGAGGCTTCACTTTAAAAGACAAATATTCCTAGAGTGTAGATGCAAACTCCCTACCACCATTATAGGCGTTTTCTCTGTATCATTGTTAAATAGGTCCATTAAGTAAAAGAGAAACTTTTAAAATAAGCATTCCAGTAATGTCAATAGATTTTGCAAGTTCTTGTGGTAATACATTTTCTCTTGTTCAATTTTATAAGATGCAGAAATGTCATGTTCTTCAACTGGCATGAGTTGACAACACCCCTCCCCACATACACAAACAGCTAAAACCACAGTAGTTAAAATATTGTGCCGCCTTTAACTGCTGTTTTAAATGCTAGTGATAGAGAACAAGTAAAATTTAAGATGGCCTGTATTTAGGCTTCTTTATTTTTCTAACTATTCAAACAAAAGTATACGCAGAATTTTGGAAAGACATTTAGATAATTATCTAGACAAGCCTATACTCAGAGGACACAGAAACAACACCTTCCTTTCATAATCCAGATCGTGGTTGTCACAATTTTTTCTTGGCTAACCAGGTGTGAAAGGTATTATATTTCGGAGTGCTTACATTCCAATAGAGTCTGAGAACATTACATCAATATTTCTAGAAAAGACTGTTTTCAGTGTCAGTAATTTAAGGAGTAGTTTTATATATATTTTTGAAAAGTGTAATGGATACTTTGTGGGGCTTCAGCCATAGGGAGATGTTAAAAGTAATTTTATCAAAATAATACTGGTAATAATAACAATGAATACTGAGCATGGTGCTAACTCCCTTACATATATTTTATCCTCTGAAACAGCTCATCATTAGCCACATTTTACAGATTTGGTAAGACATTTAGATAATTATCTAGACAAGTCTATACTCAAGAGTACACAGAAACAGCACCTTCCTATCACATTCACTTCCTATCTCCAAACCTATTAAACAAGAAAACCCTACCTATGACATTCACTTCCTATCTCCAAACCTATTAAACATAATTCAATAAATGTTGGATAAATTAATGAATAAGGCTTAAAAACATAACTTATCTGAGATCATGATGCACCAAGTTAAGGTGATTCCAGAATGTGAACTTCTAAAACTAGCAAAAAGATTTCTATCAGTGTCACAAAATGAACAGTATGAGTGATGGAAAGTCCATTGAGTGTTAACAGAGTGTGTCTCATCAGAAGTAACTACAAAGAGGTGTGACAGTCACCCTGAGTGTTCCCTGACCAGAATCTAAACAGCAACTCTGAGGATGAAGGAAATGACTAAATTTGACTGACACACCAAACTGCACCTTGAGGCTGGGCTTGCAGGACAAGCAACCATACTGTGGAAGCAGATTCAAAGTGAAATATTGCTTGCTTAATTAGTGGAATATCAAAACAAATGTCAAAGACCAGGATACAGTAAAAATAAAATAGATGTGTATTTCATGAAAAGACCAGTGCCAAGGAAGAGGGGGAAACAAGATCCCAGAGAAAGATTTTGAGGAAGACCCTAAGTCAGAATTCAGTCATATATGTCCTCCTCTTATTTATGTTGCAGTAAGGAATTAATTTGGTCTAATCACCTAACATTATTTTAAAAAAATATGTCTAAGAACTAATAATGACTGAACCAAAATGTAGGTGTGGAGTTTTACGACCTAATAGATTTTACCAACACCTTAAATATTTGCCCTAAATCCTTCTCCCTGAGGTTTCCTTTACAAAACATAGCATTTGCCTTTGATTTTGACAATACAATAGGCATTAAATACTTCATTTAATTTGTTCAGAACATACTGGCTTTTTCAAATATTCATGATTTGGGGGGAAGAAAAATAAAAGGATTAAATCCTCATTGTCTTCACTCTTTTATTCTTGAACTACAAATGACTCAGCTAAACTTTCCTGCATTTCTCCTTTCACAACTTTTCAAATAAAGTAGGTTTTATTTTTTTTTGCTTGTTAGTCAAAATGTTAATGTCTCGTTCCATTTTTGCAAGTGTAGTGTAATGTGATTATATACAGACTTTAGCAGCTTATTTTTGCCTTCTCCTAATGCAAATACAGTCTCAAGCTTAGGAGAAAGTATGTTGTCATAAAATACATACTAAAACATAATGCACTAAATAGTATGATGTCACACTTACTTCAATAGGCCAGGTATAAAAGAAAAACTGATCATTGGAAGCAGTCTTCGATTCTTTTTGGAAGCAGAAGAGTAGAAATATTAAATTAATTGAAAATATAACTTGTGAGCTATTTGCATCCATATCAAAATGAATCACTTTAAATGATCTTTTTATTTTAAAAATAATCTTGAGTCAATTTATGGCACTAGTTGTTATAGTTTGGTCTTTTCTAATCATCTTCTTCTAGATTTCACAAGTCTTTTGACCAAAATATTATGTTAAGGTTTTATAGTAAAAGTAGTGATTTTAATTAGCTTCGATATGGAATTTGCAAATGGTTTTCTAACTAGACGTTGGGTGCTCAAAAGATCTGACTTTTAGAGGTTAGGCCAGATAGGGAGGGAGCATTCAACTGGAAGAAGGACCTTCAAGGCTTTGTCTCTTTGGGGCCAAGGAAAGGAGTAAAAAATACGAATGTTTCTTCTTGAGCTGCACGCTTAGTGTCTCTGACCCCTATGTTGTCCAACCTAGGATATCTTATAGGGGTCATAATTTTCACTTAAGTGTTTTTTCCTGCAAAGATGCTTGCTCCGCATCAGGCCTCAGACTTATCGTATAAGATATATTTTAGTGTTTTTAGTTAACATTTAGGCAAAATGTCTTGCATAGCCCTTTCTGGTAGCTTTCCTCGTTTGCTTAGATTTCATATTTTTTGCTATAGCTTTCTGTTTGATTTTTTTAGAATTCTTGCCATTTTAACGAGTAATATTGTATCAAACTCTTTTCTCTCTTTTATCTGTTGTCTTTTAATGGGTAGTGAGACGTGACAACACAGAACAGCTGTGAGGGTAGTCCATTACCTAAAATAGAGGAAAGGATAGGAACCTCCTTTTTCCACTTATTTTTGCCCAGACCTTTCCTACAATTTCAAAAGCTGGTGTTCTATGCTCACCCAAACTGTATCCCTTGATCAGAAAAAATTAATTAGGCATTTCTGGTAAGACTAGTAAACAAAACCATTATTCCCAAGAACAATATGTAAAACTTGCTCCAGGGAAATCTTAGCAAAATTTCTGAAACAATTTCTTTGCAGCGTAATCCAACTAACAGCTATGAATTAAGAACCAAAGCCTCTGATATAACCAACTACTAGATAGCAATCTGTCTAAGCTTCCAATCATCAGAAAAGCAAGTAGAAAGAGACCTTAACTGTAAATGGGCCTTCAGTGCACTGCCCTGGGCCAAATCTCCCTCTAGATTAACAGGGAGAAACACCCAGAGAGGATAATTAAATTAGTAGAATCCTTTCTTTCCTGTTCTGCCTCTAGGGTAAACTGTATTAAATCAAGCCATGTCCTTTCTTGACCAAGATATACAGCAGTACTCCCTGGGTGAGGAGAAATTGGCTTGAGTTGAGGTTATCCCAATAGGGTTTTATAGGGCTCTTTACAGGGCTCCTCCCTGCTGCATAATCACAATCTAATAAAAATCCCAGAGCCCGCCAAGATTAGGAAAACTAGCTTTCTTAACACATAAAGCCCTAGCCCACCAGGGAAGTTTTCAATGCACTTGTCAGCCATAATAACAGACATATAAACTCACTATTCAACAGACATTTCTTTGAGCACAATGTGCTACTCAAGTTGTAACCTTTGATCAGAAAAATTAGCCTGATTTTGTGGATGCAAAGATGACCAAGATTTTCATAGACTGGTAGCAGAAACAGAAACATTTAGTTAATTTAATAGTATAATGGGATATGTGCAATGATAGATGTGTCCAGTGATAATGTGAAGAGAAGTACCCAGGAGCTGGGAGGAAGACTATATGGAAAGGATAATGCCTGGATTAGATTTTAAAGGATGACAGCCAGGCAGTAGTGCAGAAGCAAGTTTATAGGCAGAAGTACAGTGCAATCAAAGTTATATAGCACTATGTATAGGTACCTGGATTGCTGGCATTAAAAACCAAAGCAAGATGTGACAGGAG